TTGTTTTTTTTTTGTTACTTTAAGGCGTATGCGCTGGTTCTGTCTCACCTGTTCATTTAATGTTTCTTTTTTTTTCTTTTTCTTTTTTAATTTTTATTAGTCAATAGTACAGTAAACAACAATGGGATTTGGTATAAATATGACCAACACAAAATTACATATAATAAAATACTGCAACATACTGAGAAGGAACAGCAAATTTAGAGGTGTCATTATTGAAGACATATTCTAAAAAAGGAGACCATTTCGTGCATAAAGTAGATTTTGAACATGAACTATTAGTAGAGGAAGCCACTGCATCAGAGAGTTTATCCATGATGTAAAAGTCCCAGATTTTTAAGAGGAAAGAAGAAGTTTGTCGGTGGATTTCCAGCTACTCGCAATAACCACCTTAGCAGCTATTAGCAGAGTCGAAATGAGGTCTTGGCTGCATTTGGGTATATGAGGGGCATTCCATAAATCGAGTAATATTAGTTCAGGTTGCAAAAATAAACAGCAACGGTGACAAAGGACATCCCTGTCTTGTTCCTTTCTGAATTTCAATTTTCTGTGTCAAGTCTCCATTTATTAGAATCTGTGCGTGTTGTTTCTTATATATTGCTTTTATCATCGTCAAAAAATGGTTTCCACTGTCACAAATATTCAGTTTCTGTATTAAAAATTCCCAAGATAGGTTGTCAAATGCTTTTTCTTATACTCTTAACTGCTAGACTGCTATAAGCTTCCATTAGACTTCCCTCCTTGGGCTGTAAAATGGATTGTCGGTTTGTATCCCGGCAGGTGTACTCAGCTTACAAATTTGCCCTTGCGGCCCATGACAGGAAGCTACCCATTGCCATAGTTAATATTGGCCCCACAAGGTCAGATCCCCTGGCGGTTCTGAAGCTGAATTCTCGTTGTGGAGAGCTGCTGCCCTTGATTGTCATACAGTGATCCAAATCCAGGTCCAGAGAAGCCAACATTTAAAGGTAAGCAACTTAGGTACCACGTTTTAGCACATTGGATGAATTAATTGTACCCACTGAAAAGTTGGCTGCCCAAATACCTATTTAGAGGCTGGAGGAAAGATGCTTGAGCTAGCCTGCTAGCAAAGAGGAGATTAATTTGCTCCCCAAAATTCTCCTTCAAAAGGTTCACCAAATATTTGATATTTCATTGTATTTAATAGTTGATGAACAGTTACGTTTAGTATTTGACAGCGTATCATAATAAAAGCACTTTAAGTTTGTGAGGCTTTTGTGTTTTGACACTTGCCAAGAGGTAGCAAAAGCACTCATGTTTTGAGGTATAAACTTTTTACCAAATATGCAGGTTAGAATTCTTAGTCGAAATTTTCATATTCATTCTTTGAAGGTTGAAATTGGGAACTTTATCACATGTTCAATATCTACTTCAGTTCTAGAGGTCAGAGTGATTTTTAAAGCTATGTGCAAGGTGCCTTTGTGTTTACGTACAAGGTCCAGTAAGATTCTGCACCCTAAAACAATTACAAGTTCAGGAGCAGAGACTTGTAATCTTCTTCAGCAGATATTGCTTACACACTTTGAAGTGTATCCTTGCAGCTATAAAGGCTAGATACTCACTTTTTAAAAACAAAGAAAGCTGAGATTCTGTGCTCAGTTCCACCCTCTGCAGTCCAGCAGAATCATAGTGTACACGCAGCCCTACTTACTGAGTTGCCAGCCGCTAACTCCTTAGGATGGCTTAGGATACACTGAGTCTTAGCAATTAAACCGCTGCTGCTTCTGGTAGCTACAGGCTCCTGTGACCCATGAGCTGCCCAGAAATCTGATTTAATCACCAGTGAGAAAACCTCCGAGAGGAACAAGCTGAATGATGACAGTCTCTTGACAGACTCCTGGTTCAGAACATCTTTTCTTCCTATATACCTCTTGGGTTCTAACACTTACAATGCTCTGCATTTTGAAGTATGCCATTGACTCAGTGCAAAAGATGGAAACAGGGGAGTTCAGGCTGCAGATTGCTGCATGTCCTACTCCCTATGTTCCATCTTTGCTGGAAGATACAGAGGCAGAAGAATCCCAGAAGGACATCACTCCAAATCAGGCTGCGGTGCTTTTGGGTGCATAGAAGGGAATGGGCTTGAAATGGAGATTGTGGGGATTCAGGTAAGACTCGGTTCACCTGGAATCCAACCTGTGAAAGAAAGGGGGGTCATTGCAAAATAACACTGCAGGGTAGGGGCTGCAGTCTTATATGCCTGTAGGATTTAAGAGCCATAAGTGCACTGCTTGACTTCAAGAATGTCTTTCCTACCTGTAACTAACATAAGGATTGTGCCTGTGTTGCACAAAAAAGCCACAGAATTCCTCTTTCTGACCATTTTGACTTTCCTTAAAGAAGGAGAAAGAGCCAAGTTCCTAACCCTGGTGTCAGGAAAAGAGTTTGAAAGTGTGTGAGCAACATCTCATAAAGCAGAGTAGCTGCTGAACATGTACGTTTGGGGTCAAAAACTGGGAGGGAGGGTGGAGGATTTGGGGGTTCCTTATTGTTTACAAACACAAGAAGAATTAATTAGGCAAGAGAGTAAACATTTGGGAATAAACAATGCAAAGTAATTAGTTCATGAGTTTCTAAGAGCTGTAGAACTCAGGATTTTGTGTTGCAAAAGTCGGGTGATTTGGGTGCTTCTTTTTTAGTGCCGAGTCTGCCTGGTCCTGGGTTTTGGTTACTTAGGAAAAGCTTTACTGAGTGGACAGCCACGTGACAGTGATGTGGAAGCTGTTTCAGTCAGAAAGCCCACAAGCAGAAGTGGAAGGAGGATTCAAGGACCGATTTGGAGAAGGACTGTATCGCATCTGTGGTTTTGTGTAATGCCAGGCATACAGCTGGAGTCAATAACTGTTTTCAGATTATGGATTGTTACTTGGATGTGCTTCCATCTGTATGAACAGCCCTGAGTCGTCAAAGATGGGCTAGATAGAAATGTGGTTAATAAAATGAAATATGATCCTTTCCCTGTCCTGGGTATTTATTATTAATTTTGTGAGATTTAATGCTGCCGTCCTATAATATGAGTTACAGTTGGAACAAAACCAGTAATATAGGTAAAATAAAACAAAACAAAACAGATGGTCATAAAACACAATATATGTCAAAAAGCAATGCCAAAGCTAGAACCACAAGTAAACAAGGCAGACCTAGCACTTGGGCAGTGACCATAAATATTGGGATGAGACAAAATAAGGCAAGGGTGGGCAGGCTGTCTGCACTAGAAGTTTCATGATTCACTTGGTGTTTATTACACTTACAAAGTTTGAGAATATCCAAACAGAAAATTCATTCATATTCAGTGACCCCCTGAACTGCATGCCCACTGACCAGATGCCTTTTTGGATTAGACAAATGACCAGCATTTGCCACAAGGAGCTTAGCAGGTGGCCCACCAGAAACTGGCCAGCCGTCCCTTGATAATATTGTGGTCTCTTTTCTGCCCAGCCCTGGAATCAAAGACTAGGAGCATCATGCATGCTGCAGGGGCAGCTGCTTTGGACTCCACCACAGCAGGAAAATAGATTTTACGAATTTCTGCCTGTAGATTTTATAGTTTTTTATTGATGACTCATAATCTGCCTCAGAGCTAGGGTTGCCAGGTCCCTCCTGGCAGCTGGTGGGGAATGAGGGGAGTCTTTCCAGTAGAGAGAAGAAGGTCTAGGCCCTCCACCCTAAAATTCATCCCAATATTTCAGCTGTTGGGATTGTACTCTGTGCCTGAGTCAGAGCCCAGCTGCAAGCCCATAGCTGGCAGAAAAGGATGGGGCTGGGAGAAGGAGCCATCCAATCCCAAGCACAGAGCACCCAAGCTTTTGGTTATGCTAATAAGTGTTGCCAAAGCAGTTTGTTCTCAGCATTGTTCCAAACATATGTGCAATTTGTTTCATGAGGTCATAAGGGTATACCTTTGTGGGAGAGTAATAAAGGGGGGGGTTCTGTTCCTTCTTTAAGACATTGCTATCTTCAAGGAACATGTGTGAACAAAGAATGAAACGTGGGAACATACAGTGGGCATGCATCACCGAGGCACAATTGACTGTGTGTCTCCAGTTCCGTTGTGTACTCCAGAGGCAAACCTATTAAGAGTCCACTAATCAAGAGCCGCTGCCACCATCTTCTTGGATCTCAGATATGACTGTGGGTATGCAGTCAGAACTTCACTGATCACACTCCAGCCTGAATCCTGCTACACAGAGAAATACTGTAGAGGTTCCAGACTGATCGAAATTATTTCCAGAGTCCAATCTGACAGCTGATTCCGGCACTTCATCTTGTTTAGGATTGCCAGATCTGGGTGGGAAAATTCCTGTAGATTTGAAAGGACAGTGGGGGGAGGCAGCTCAGCAGGGATGCGATGCCATAGAGTCCACCTTCCAAAGCAGCCATTTTCTCCAGAGGAACTGGTGTCTGTAATCTGGCAAAGTTATAATTCCAGGAAAACTTTGGGCCCCGCCCAGAGATTGGTAACCCTATGTTGCTTCATTATCCACAGCTGCAAGGAGGTGGGGTGGGGCACTTAGGCAAGAGAGTACATGTATAATATGAGCACCATGCAACCCAAAGATTTCCTACCAAAGAGATGTGTCCCAACTAGCACCTTGGTGGTTGTCTCCCCCCCCCCCTTTCCTCCAGTCAATCATTGCACCAGCTCAGCAGCTTTGGGTGGTGATTTTCCCTTTGTCCAGACTGCTCATGTGTTTGCTTTACACTTGTGCATTTGTTTCTAATGTGCTGGAGCAGGTGACCACATGTAGCTGACCTGTTGCTTTTGCTTAACCTCTGTGCAGAATGTAGATTATATTGCTCAATTCAGCTGTGGGGTTTCCTTTTCCCTCCCCGTCCACCAACCACTTTTTATTGCATGTTGTAGTTTGAGTTATATTGCTTGTGTGTTCACAGGGCACGTAATGCAAACACTGAAACACGAGTCTCTCATGTTGTAGAAGGCAATGTCTGGTGTACACACAGAAGAAGAGAAGAAGACCCTGCAGGGGGCAGCAAGGAGACACTCTTTAGATAGGATAGTGAGGTCAGCGCTTCTCTCCTGTTCAGTGTCATTCCTTGTCTGTCTCCAGATTGCTACTCTTAGGGCAATTTCCCCCTTCTTCTCAGAAGTGCCACACTCAGTCTTACCCGCCTTCTCAGCTAGAGATGTAGTTAGGAACCTATCTCTGTCTCTCCTCTTTCCTATCAAGTATGTTAATTCCTAAATAAACCTTTATCTACTCTTTAATCAGGTTGTGCACCATTGCTGTTAATTACTCTGCCAGCATCTCAGGTCATGTTATGTCCGCTGACCGCCACCAGGGGCCAGCGAATTCCCCAGAGCTTGACTCTGCAAGAACAATGGGGACTAGGCTCCTAGTCTCTCCATTGGGGAACCAATAGGACCATGGCGGGAGATTCAAACCCACCAACAGGACCTAGGGGGCGTCCCCAAGTGTGTATATAGTTGGCCAGCCGGCCGTTAGTCTTTGTTGTGTACCAGTAAACCATGCTGATCACTACATCTGTCTCAGTGGTTTCTACATGCATTTAACCCACTACACTTCAGGTCAAAACTACACGTGATGTTTGGGATCCTCAGTTTGGATTCTCCCCCCTGTAATTTAGCTGCAGAAACAACCGGGGGGGGGGGGGCTGCAGCTCTGTGATAGAGCATCTCCTTGGCATGCAGAAGGTCCCAGGTTCAGTCCCCGGCATCTCCTGTTAAAAGAATCTGGTAGTAGATGATGTGAAAGACCTCTAATTGGGACCCTGGAGAGCCGCTTCCAGTCTGAGTAGACAACACTGACCTTGGTGGACCAATGGTCTGATTCAGGATAAGGCAGCTTCATGTGTGGAAGTGATGATACAGAGTGAGGCCAGGGAGGGGAGGGTCTCTTTTCCCCGTGTTTTCCCCAGGCTGCTTTAAGCTCCAGGAGTCTGATATCCATCCCTACCAGGGCTTCAGACAGCTGGAGCAGAATAACCATTTTTGATTCATGAAATGGCAAAGGGAGGCAGAGCTAACCTCCTCCCATCCCCAGATCTGCAGCCCTGATCCATATCAGACTTCCCCCACCATGCACATGACTACTTTTTGTAGTTGAAATTACACATCAAGGAATTTAATCACAAGCATGCTATGCAGGGATCATGCATGTGAGGGAAGGGTGCACAAAGCTCCGGGCAGATGCTCCACTTCTAGGGCAAAAGCCTCTGCATTCATGATAGCAATGATGACAGTGAAATGTAGAGTCGTTACCATCTGCATGCAGCTATCGTTAAGGCTGAGGACTCGCTCATACGTTCTGAGGCAAACGCAGCACTGGCGTAACAGTTTCTTGGGCATGCGCGTTGTTTCCTGCTGGCTTTCTCCTGCAGTCTTTTCATATTATCTGTACCAGAACAACAATCAGTGATTTCCAAGAGAATGCCGCCCTGGGGGGAACATGCTGGCATAACCAACACCTGGCTCCTCCTGTGACCACACCCAGGAGCGATTGCTCCATAGAGGGAGGAGTGTGAACAGCACAGGCTGAATCTGGACTTTCAATCCTTCGTCAGCTTTTAGCCCACGGATGAAAGAGAGCAGTCCTGAAGTGAATGACAGATCCAAGAAGCAACAATGGCTGTCCTCAAGATCCTTGTGCCACTCATCATCGGCCTCTGTGCTTACTATTTCTATAGCCCAGAATCCGTCTCTGCAGGTAAGCAAAAGCTTCGATAGAAGCACCTTCTTTCTTCCAGCAGCCAGAAGACAAGCTGTGTATTCTGCCACCTTTGGGTCTGATCACATGGCCATCAGAGGGTGGGGCCTTGGAGGCTTTCACTTTTGGCTGCAGCATTGTAGAGGCACAGCGAAAATTATGTGCAGCTAAGGGTACATGAGGCCAGCTGGCCACATGCTGGGAGCTAATGCAGGAAAGCTATTCCCACGGCTCTTCCAGATGCATAGTGTTAGTAGAGGCTGATTATATATGTGCTATAGCGAGTGTCCGCATTTGGGGCTTAGTCACTAAATTACCCGATTTGTTAGAGGCATTTTATTTATATGAAGTCTCCCCACTTTTTGGACATATTGACAAGCTGTGGCCTCAGAATCAGCCGCCAGCAGGCAAAAGGGGACGGCTTCCCCTTCCTTTCCGTGGCAGGTGGTGAGGGGACCTACTGATTGGCCCGGTGGCAGTTTAAACCTGCCAATCCAGGTCCCTGAGATGGCTGCGGGGGGGTGGGGGCCTCTAGGCAGACCAGAAGGTAGAGGTTTTCAATCTGCTCCGTCCCCTGTTGTTTACTGGGCTGCCGCTGAGGCCTCTTGGCAGTTGGCATTTTCAGTCACAGCTTTTCATGGCAGTTTGGGCATCAGGCCAGATCCAGTTTTGGGGAGAGGCTGAGTCTGCATGCCTGCCTCCAGTCTGGGGACCCTGATAAGGGGTCTCAGGGTAGGGGGTGGTCATTTAGCGACATGCCCAGTATCGCAGGGCCCTCATCCTCAGATGGTAAGTGAACAACACAGAGGCTTGTCTCCATGTGCTATCCCATGTGGCACCCCCACAGGTGGGCTGGGAGGACAGTTTGTGTCGTCAGCCAACAGGTGGGTCACCTGATGCTAGATCCATGGCCCATGATGCACCAATGCCCCTGTGATTGTTTTTCCAATAAAAGCTGTAGCCTCCTTTTCTCCAGTTATATGCGTGTGGCTTCATTACTCCCCTTTGGACCCTTGCTCCCTCCCTTGCCCCTAGGATTGCACTTGCATTTGCATGACTGTTAACCACCGGTGTCTGTTGGATATTTATTTTGGCTGGGTTAACATACGTGCCACTGGACTCAAGCTTTGTTCTTCTCACATCAGTTTGTAAGCTCTCGTGTTTGTGTGCTAATTTGCTGCCATTCATTGATCTTACTGGCCGCCTTGATGCAATTTCAGCTTTGCTTATGCATCTTAGCTTTGACTGTTCCCCCCCTTCAATCTTTCTGTATGTAGGGCTTGAGGAGATTCTGTTTCAGCCTGTATATGAGGAAGCATGCTTGCACACAAAAACTCATACCTTGAATAAAACTTTGGTGGTCTTAAAGGTGCCACTGGACCCAAACTTTGTTCTGCTGCTTCAGACCAACATGACTACTCCACCTGAATATATATAATCCAGTTAAGGTAATACCCAAATACAGTGGGAATGGAAGAACTCTTATCTTGCAAGCTAAGAGGCCGAACATTAGTACAATCTCTAATTGAAAATTTGCTTGCATATTGGAGGGATCCACAAGTAGGTCCCATCACAACTTAAGGCGGGTTGCAGGAGGAGCCCCCTCACCTCATCAGTTTCTTTTCACTGCTGTTTCTTCTTGCTTAGAGAAAGTACCGGGTGAGTCGCATGTGGGTGTAAGGTACTGTCCTGAGAAACCTGTTGCAGAAGTTTGCTTCTCAATTGTGCCCAGAGACGGAGATATTGCATAATAATAGCAGAGACTAATTAGGGTCATGCAGTGAAAGCAAAAGAATTCCTAAGAACTGCATAAGCTCCAATGAAACCCACAACATGCAGTTGCATTTGCTCCACTAGCCTTGTTACCCAAAATCTTCTGTGGCACATGTTCAGTTCATACAAGTGGGGTTCATTAGGCATCAGTGTTCCTTGGAAGAAACTGAAAATGCCACCTAGTTGATAACGTCTCCTTAGAGTCTGATCAGCAGCAAGAGGAATGCATGGAGGACAACTCAGGAGAACATCCCCACTCTCTTCACTGGCCACCCAATCAGAAGTCGATGTGCAATAATTAATTCAAGATGGACAAAAATTTATCCTCCTACAGCCAATAAGTAATTAAATTGTACCATTTACTGCCAATGGACGTAATAATGGCCATGAGCATAGATGACTTTAAAAATGGATTAGACAGGTTCATGGAGCTATGGCTACCAGCTGTGATGACTAAAGGGATCCTTTACATCAAATGGCAGTAAAGTCCCTGAACACCAACGCAAAGAGGCAACATCAGGAAAGGCATTGGCCCCTATGCTATTTGTTGATCATTCAGGGCAAATGGTTGGTTACTGTGTAAAACAGGATGCTGGTCTGATCCAGCAGGGCACTCATTATGTTCTCGTACCTCCTTCAAAGAATGGAGAGGATGTTTCTCCTATGGGTATCACCTTGCAGACCTAAAAAGGTGTATTTTGAATAATGTTTGTAAGCAGTTAGTGTGAGCTAGCTCAGTTTTTTAGCCTCCTGTCACAGCTCAGGTAGGGTATCACCTGATGCTGCCACCACTCTGGAATTAGGATCCTTTGAGAAGACCCAGAGCACCCTCCCAAGACCTTCAGACCTCCCTTTTGGCTGAATAATAGGCGTGAAGACTAGGCAGAGTAAACAACAAGGAAAAGGTTTATTTTATAGGAGGTCAAACAAACAAGCTGCAGGGATAATAACAGTAAGTGGGTGAAAAGAAATCAAATGCCCTAACGCGTCTAAATATACTGTCCCTAGCTCACTATCTCAAGTGGCCTTAGACTACTTACCCTTCCCTCAGGATGAGGGTTTCTTCCCCACAGGAGCCTTCCTTCTGGCCCTGTTCCCTGGGAAAAAGAACAACTCTTCCTCTGTACCAGCTCTTTTGTTATAAGTCCCCTTTCTCTGTGATTGGCTAATTTTGGCTCCAAAACCTCTCAGGGGCTTGTGGGAGTTGTAGGCGTGGCCTCCTCCCACTGCTAGCCAGGCTCCCTGGGCCTACTAGGCCTTGCTTGCACAGCCCAGATCATGACACCTCTTGATCACAGATTTTTGTCTAGCTCAGGAAGGATGGCTCCAGAGCAAACTAATTTATGCAGTAGCCAAATTGCTCACTCACAACTTTAACGCCAGTAGCTCACAAAGTAGAACTTTTGCTCACAAGACTCCACAGCTTAGGGGGAGCATAAGCTGATTTAAAGACCTAAATAGTGGCAAAATTTGTAGATAAAAAGGATACATGCAGGG